GATAGAGACACAGAGAGAGAAAACAAACGAAACGAACAACAGAGAGAGAGAGAGAGTGCGAGGGAGGGACGGAGAGAGTCGGAGAGATAGGGAGAGGAATAACGAGAGAGAAAGAGAGAGAGAGAGATCTCTAAATATATATATATATATATATATATATATATATATATAAGACGACCTGCATTACAACACGCACGGAGCTACGCTTTCAAACCATAAGAAGCCGTTGCGCTGTAAGGCAAGACGAAGTCCAGACAGTTGAAACCACACAGAGCGCCACACGATTGCGAAACATTTGAAACCTGCATACCAGAAAGGAGCAATGATTCCACGAACTTGAAAACGATAAAAACAACGTCCATCCAAGAGAGAGCGATAATAATGCCATACAGTGGAAAGAAATATGAAATCAATCGCCAGTGTGTGCCAACACGAATGTGGATTCTCTCAGTCTGCCCGATGCTTGTGGCCTACTGATCCCCAGTGATTTGTATCGGCGTTTATGGATCCCGATTGAGCCCAAGCGAGTTCTATTGATTGCTAGTGGTTCCTTTCGATTCCTGTCGGTCCCTTGTGATTCCGACTGGCTCCTTGTGATTCCAATGGGTTCTTACAGGTTCAAATTTATCCCGATTGATTCCTAGTGATTCTGAATGCTTCTGACTAGTTCCCAGTGATTCCTACCGTTCCCCTTCGGTTCCTATTGTTTCCTAGCGAATCCTATTGATGATGGTTGATTCCTGTTGTTTCCTATGGACTCTTTCGAATCCCATCGGTTCCTGCAGATTCACAACAGTTCTTAATGCTTCCACCTGGTTCCGATTGATTCCTGTTGATTCCTGTTGGTTCCAATGGACTCCCACGGTTTATTGTTGATTTCTATTGGTTTCTGTTGATCCCGATTGGTTCCCATTGAGTAGGTCAAGAGAGCGAGGGACAGGGGTGGAGGAGGATGGGGCCATTTCAGAGAGTCACACACGGATTATTAATCTCCCATTGGATTTGGTTCGTGTTTCAATGGCCGCCACAGGTTTCCTCAATGTTGGACCACGGAACTTGTGGCACTGCACAAAAAAAACCATTAAAGTGATACCCGAAACAGAAATCATTAGATTTCTGGATCCGAGGCGGGGGAGCCCGGCAGGCGTCTGGCCCGCCCTTTCCCCATCCCCTGCCTTGGATCCCGAAAGCCGTTGATGTTTGTTTTGTTGTCGCGTCATCGCTTGTTTGGTTCCCCACATCCTAAGTGAGGTTATTGTTTTCTTTGACCTCGCGCAGGAATAAGAACCCACCACACCATCACAATCAGAATCACGCTAACCATCATCACCACGACCACCATCCCACCAGGACCATCATCCATCACCATCATACATTCACACTCGCACACTCATATTCATTCATCACCCACTCAGTTTAATCCCGTGATCCCGTTATGATTACCGGTCATCATTCCCATTGCCAGCATCACCATCGCACACCACCGCCGCCATCACTATCACCATCCCATCATGATCATCGACCACGCGGAAGCCTCGTCCGTGAGTGGTTTGCGAGAAGCTTTTCCAGAAGTGCGTCGGAGGCCTATAAGAAGCCCTCAGAGGCTCTGAGGAGCCCTCAGAGGCTTTTGAGAAACCCGGTTGTAGAGCTGCTGGTTTAGTTGTGCAGACGGCTTTCTGGTTGCGAAGTAGTCTTGGCAGGGCTGCTTTGGTTGGAAAGTGACCCAACTAAAAAAAATGTCGAACGCTTTCTGGTTGGAGGGTTCCCCATCTGGTTGAAAAGAGTGCTTCTGGTTGTAAAGATCGCTAAACCCCCTCCCCCCCTGCCCCTCCCTCTAGGGCCCTGAACGCCATCTCTTGGGACCCTTTTTGGGACGCTCTTGGAGCGCTCTTGGGGCCGTCGTCTGGGGGGGGCCTCCTGAGACTCTCTTTGGCCATCGTGGGGCCACCTTGAGGCTTCAAAAGCGACTTGGAAGCGAAAAGGCGAGAGGGCGGCAATAAGTCATGCTGCCATCGGTGCTTGAAGGATGGTGGCCTCTTGGGGGGCGTCCTATGGGGGCTCTGAACAGTATTGGGGCGGTAGTTGGGCCTCGTAGATCACGTTGAAAGCAATCTCGTGCCATCTCCAGCGATTCTGAGCCATCTTGGAAACCACCTTGGAGCGTGGGAGGCCCTTTTGGAGCCATCTTGGATGAAAAAGGACCCTCGGACACATCGCCCCCCCACCACCCCCCACCCCCACCCCAACCCCACTTCCACCCAAAACAGACCTCAGGGAGGGGAGGGGGAGGACACCCCTCTCCGAAAGGAGGACGGGCTCGGAAAACATCGTTAGACCACCTACGCCCAAGGGGCGAGTGGAATCACCACGAATAACCGTACTACTGACACTAAGGTTGGGCCAACAGCTGCTACTAGTGTGTATTGTCGGCGTGCCTCTTCTTCCCCGATACAACTTCTGGTCGTGCTCTTCTCCTTGGACACCCCCTTCTTCGTCCGAGGTTTTCCATCAGATGGATTATCCTGCTCTTCTGGCTGACTTTGCCCACTGTGCCTCCCGCCTTGCTCATCCAGCTACATCTGACCGCCATCCTCAATACGATCGCCAACGCCATCATAGTTCTCATACTCATAAGCGTTTCTCTCGCCGTGTCGTTCATGCTCATCTCTCTTTTTTCTTCCTGGCTTCCCTGCTTGCTGGTTGTCCTGCTCCGCATGCTCATCCTCCTGCTGCTCCTCCTCCTCCTCCTCTCCCTCCTCCCTCCTGCTGCTCCGGTGTCTTCCAAGTATAGCCTCGCTACTACCTGCTTCTCTTGAGCATCCGGCTCTTGCTGGTGGTGCAGAATCTCCCCCCACCGCCCTATCACCCCGATCCCCCCCTCCACGTCCTACATCTACTCCCGCCGCCTCCCGGCACATGCTTCAGCTTCCGACCTGGCCCACGACAGCGACAGTCTGGAGTCGACCAGACACTTCGGTAGAAGAGCGACGAGTAGCAGGAGCAGGATCTAGAATCCAGAGCAGGAGGGAGACGATCATCGGCGGCGGCAGGAGGTCAGCATAGCCCTGCAGGCGTCGGTGGCCTGGCGCGCCGCCAGCGCCTACGCCCGCCCAGACTCCCTGTCCTTAGCGGGCTCGAGGTGATGCCCAGGGGCGGACGAGGCGGGCCAGAGGGCAGCGGGCGCAGAGGCCGCAGGGAGCTGAGCAAGTCGCCGAGGGCGAGGAGGAGCCAGAACAGACCGAGGAGAAGGAGGCCGAGGGCGAGGAGGAAGAGGCCGCGGAGGGGGCGCAGGAGGAGGAGGAGGAAGAGGAGGAGAAGGAGGCTGAGGCCAGCCCGAGGGCGGGGAGCGCCGAGGGGGATGATGATGATGATGATGCTGATGATGATGATGATGATGATGATGATGATGATGATGATGATGATGATGATGCTGATGCTGATGCTGATGATGATGATGATGATGATGATGATGATGATGATGATGGTGGTGGTGGTGGTGGTGATGGTGATGGTGATGGTGATGGAGATGTTGTTGATGATGGTGATGGTGATGATGGTGATGGTGACGATGGTGGTGATGATGATGACAATGAGGAGGAGGAGGAGGAGGAGGAGGAGGAGGAGGAGGAGGAGGAGGAGGAAGAGGACCAGTGCACACCCAACACCCATCAACGATGTTTGAATACACCCTCCCTCCAAGTTCCCTCGTCAGGGGGCCCTAGAAAGGGTCATTCCCGCTGGGGGAATTGCCCCGTTGGGGGGCAATCGTGTGAACATGCTGAAGCGCGCCCAGACACCATTCTCAGGACGTCAACGCCGCGAGTGAACTGACTGCTACGTCTTGGCGATCCTGAACCGTGCCAGAACACAATCCCTGGGACTTCAACACCGCGAAACAACGTAACTGCTGCGCCCTGACATGCCTGAACCGTTCGAAATCACAGCTTCTGGTACGTTAAACATGAGAACAAGTGAAACTCTTGGAAAGGTTTGAAAGGAATGCGCGCGGCGCTAAGGCGAGAGCCACATTCCGAAAGGAGCCGCCCTCAATCCGTGAAGCTCTTGCAGTTTTGTTTAACGAATGTGCGCGGCGCTAAGGCGGCAGCCGCAATTTGAAACCGACCCGACCTCAATCCGTGAAACTCTTGCAAAGTTTGAAAATCAGTGCGCGCGGCGCTAAGGCGAGAGCCTCAGTTTTAAAAGGAGCCGTCCTCAGTCCGTGAAATGCCTGCAGTTGTTTAGAAACGAATGCGCGCGGCGTTAAGGCGAGGTCCACATTCTGAAAAGGAGCTGGCCTCAATCCGCGAAGCTCTTCCAAACTTTTGAAACGAGTGTGTGCGGCGCTGGAGCCAGAGCCACATGTTGAAAACCACCCGCCCTCAATCCGCGAAGCTCTTCTTCCCAATTCTTGAAACGAATGAGCGCGGCGCTGACGCGATAATTACATCTTGAGAACCACCCGCCTGCAATCCGAGAAACTCCTGCGAACTGGTAAGAAATAAATGCGCTCGGCGCAGAGGCGACAGCTACATTTTGAAAACCACCCGCCTTCGATCCGTTCAACCCTTGCGAATTTGTAAACATAATGCGCGCCGCGATTCGGCGAAAGCCACATTTTGAAAACGGCACGTCCTTCATTTGTGAAACCGCTGTCATGTTGTTAAGCATCAGGGCCACAACACGTGAGGAAGTCTCAGGCGAAACGCCCGGCCCGCCTTGTCGACCAGCCTCGGGGTGCGACAGGGAGGAGCTATCAAGACGGAAAAGGGATATAGAAGGAGGAGGCGGAGGAGGGGAAGGAGGGGGAGGCCGAGGGCGGGAGGAGAAAGAGGAGGAGGAGGAGGAAGAAGAAGAAGAAGAAGAAGACGACGAGCCGGAAGAAGCCGAGGACGGCGGCGGCCAACCCCCAGGCAAAGAGCGCCCAGGAGAGAGGAAGGGGGAAGGGCGACAGAGGGCGAGGCGGAGCCAGCGGAGGAGGGCGAGACGGCGCGGCGGAGGCGGAGGCCGAGGCCCCGCGCGACGCGCAGGACCAGGGGGGGCGCGAGAGGAGGAGGACGCAGACGGGCGGAGGCCGGGGAGCAGACCGGGCGACGAGGGCGCCAGAGAACGAAGGCGGCGACGAGGGCGCGGCGGAGGCGCGACGAGCCCGCGGGACGAGCCGGAGGCGAGCACTCGCCGACCTCCGAGGGGCCCGGGCCCGCGCGCCGGGCGCGGACGGAGGAGGGCAGGAGTGCTGCGGAGGGCCCGTGGAGGGCTCCGCGGCGGTCTCGGCGGGCTTGCCTGCCGGTGCCGCTCTTTGGGAGGCGACGTCCCTCGGCGCACCCAGGCGGTCACCCGGCGGATTTGCTGGGGTCGCGAAGGTGCGCGGACGTTTCGTCTCCCCTCTGCATACGCGGCGCGCCCGGCTGGACCCGCGGCGGGGGAGGGAAAGCAGGAGCAGGCGGGGAAGCAGGAGGAGAAGGAGGACACGGAGGAGGCGGAGGGGCAGCGACAAAAGGAGGATCATGCCGAGGACAGCAAGGTGGAACACCATAAGCACGAGGAGGAGGGCGAGCACAAGCCATGAGGAGGCGGATGGGGGAGTAGGAGGAGTGCCTGCGGGGCGGAGGATGGGGTAGGGCAAAGAGGGATTAAGATGAGCAGGAGGACGAGGAGGAGGAGGGGGTGGAGCACGGGGCGGAGCAGGATGTGGACGCGGCAGGAGGACGAGAGGAGAAAAGCAACGGGAGCAGCGTGAGGGTGGTGTTCGTGAGGAGCGCCCCAACAGGAGCAGGGGCTGTTCGCGGACGAGCAGGCCAGACGCCGCGGCCTGGAGGGGCAGCTGGCGGAGAAGGAGAGGCGGCTGAAGGAGATCAAGGCCGCGGGAACAGGAAGCGGATCGTCCTCCTCCATCTCCCTACGCGCGCGCTCCTGCGAGTGAATGGGGGTTGCCCTCGATAGACCTAGAGCTAGACTCCTGCAGAGCCAGTATACAATGCAGCTTGTAGTATGAGTAGCTAGTCAGTGTACGACAGGTTAGGTCAGATTGCATAGTCCCTCCAAAAATTAGGAATGCAAATCAGCAATCATGGTGCTTCAGATAACACGCCGCGGCGTATCCCCTCAGATTTTTGGTGTGAGCAATGCGTCTGGAAACGTTGGTTTTGAACTGTCAGCCTCTCCAGCAGATCAGAAAACAACAACTTGAAACAAAAGCACGGCCAGCGCGTGTTCCCCAGGGAGCTATAAGTTTAATTAAACCAGAGAAAAATCGCTGAGGAGATCGACCGGGAACCCAGGACCCCGGGAACCTATAGGCCCACCGAAATCGGCCGGAACCAATAGCCGGGAACCCGGGAACCCGGGATCCGGGAACCCGGGAACCCAGCCTGCTATACCAAAATCGGCGGGAAATTTTCGACAAATCTTTCAATTAACTACACCAGAGAAAAGCCCCAATCAGTGGATGGTTTGCGCTGAGGAGATCGACCGGGAACCCGGGAGCCTGGGAACCCACCGAAATCGGCCCGGAACCAATAGCCGGGAATTCGGGAACCCGGAACCGGGAACCCGGGAACCCAGCTATCAAAATCGGCGGGAAATTTTCGCCAAATCTTTCGATTAACTACACCAGAGAAAAGCCCCAATCAGTGGTATTAGGAGATCGACCGGGAACCCGGGAGCCTGGGAACCCAGAACCCACCGAAATCGGCCCGGAACTTTTTCAGTGCAAGCACTGATTGGGGAATTTCCGCTAGGACGCCTTCAGTGCAAGCATTGATTGGGGAACTTCCGCTAGGACCCTTTCATTGCAAGCATTGATTCTGGAATAACCCGAAAGAACCTAACGGCTTTCAACTGCACGATCTGGAAAACCTGAAAACACTATGTTCTTTTCAGTTGCCGCGCCTCTCTGTCGGTCTTTCTCTCTCTCTCTCTCTCTCTCTCTCTTTCTCTCTCTCCTCCTCGTCATCCGCCTACTCTTCCGCCTCCCCCTCCTCCGCCTCCCCCTCGTCAGCCTACATTAAGGGGATGGTGGTGACGCAGTACTCGGGCACCTTGTCTGCGATCCGTTCGCAGTTGTTGGTGTTGTTGGCGTCCATGATAACCTCTCCGTCGTACTTCTCGCCCTCTTTCTGTGCTCTTCCTTTCTCCAGCGTCCTGCCCATGTACGCGCAGACCTCCGTCCTGACTCTGATGTGCAGCAATCCCAGGCTGCCTGCGTCGACCTCCTCCGCGCTTCGCTCGCTGGTGCAGGGCTTGCGCATCCTCGTTATGCTGCTTGTGTCCTGCCTCGAGCCCCGTAGTAGCGAGACCCGCTGACGTCACGATCTCCCGCATCTGTAGTACCGCTGCTGTCAGTTCTGCCTGCTCCCGCGCCAGCGTCGGGAGGCGCCTCGCCGTGACGTCGAGCGTCTGATGGTTGTTGCTGCCTTGGCCCGCCGGTGCCCTTCCTTGCGGTCCTCGTCTCGGACGCCTGCGGTCCTGTGCCCGTTGTCCCGCGGGTACGCTTGCCATCACCTGCGATCTCCGGTCGAAGATTGACTTCGCGTGCTGGCTGCAAAATCGGTCTCATGAGGTGTGTGCACAGGTGCCGGAGACAACTATCCTTGTCCATGGCATAACGGCTACAGAGCGGGTATTGTGGCGTATGAGGTTTCGCCGTATGTTGATTCTTGGTCTTGTCCCTGTTGCATGCTCCCCGCACTATACTCCTGGCTATATGTTTCCAAGCCGTGCCCCTGCATGTAAACATCTGCTTGCAATTGATACACCCGCTGTTGCTTGCGAGGATGGCTGCGAGGTTGTGGATGTTGTGCGTTTTGATAATGTGGCTGTGGAATGCTTTCTTGCTTGCGAATAGTAGTCCACATTCTCTCACCCCGTCTTGTACTTAACATTTCCAGGACCGGTTTTCTTGTAGAGCTACGTCTTCCTGATGTTCGTCCGTTCGCTCTAGTACTCCAGGAGGGGAGATTGCTACCGTCAGTGTGTTTGCTCGTACATCCCGAACGTGTAGTAGGTGCAGCTGTTCTCGAACTTCAAAGGCGAATAGGCGACCGAGTCGGATTTCATCTGTTTCTCCCAAGGTGTTGAAAAAACTGTCCGAAACCCTGCGTGCGTATCTGATGTCTTCGAGACACCGTTCGGCCCATGGATTCGTGTGGCTGGTGAGTTTGTCTCTTTCGTCGTCTTCGTCCGTCGTATCGAATCCGAGCTTTCTGAACAAGGCAACGACGAGCCGTCTGTGATTATACGGATACATGAGAATCTGTTTGAGCCATCGAAGTCGTCGTACCAGTGCTTCCTCCGCTGGTGGCAGTATTTGCCAGTGGTGGAAGATTTCCAGCGTGCTAAGTGACCGCACGTTGCCGTCTTCTCTCCGCGTTGTGGCGTCTCCTCTCATGGTTTTGCGTAGCAGCGCCCCCGTCGCACTCTTGTAGTTGGTTGTTCTCGCTGGGCGTCGGCAGGTAGCACTCGATGCAAGACAGCCCCGTGTTGATCGCTCTGCCTATTAGCACTGCTCGCTTCCATCGGTGTGGTACGTTGGCCTTACTCCAGAAGGCCCCGCACTCGCGGTAGCTCTTCTTCATGGCCCTGAGACCCTCCTCCTCTTGCTCCTCCTCCTCCTCCTCCTCCTGCTACTCCTGCTCCTCCTCCTCCTTCTCCTCCTCCTTCTCCTCCTCCTCCTCCCTTGTAGCCCTGCGTCGGGCTGATCCGTGGTCCCAGGTATCTCGCCGTCGGCAGCGTGCGTCCTGGCAATCGATGGTCTCTGCCAGGCTCGAGTCGGTGATGGGCCGGTCGGGTGCCTGCACCCTGGGAGCAGACGATGTTATCCCTTGCTTGTCCTGGATTTGGCGCATGCCCATCTCTCGTAATCGATCGTTGAAGTGCTCATCTACCCTCCTCGCTTGCTGTGACATGCGTGTCGCATTTGTCGTCTTGCCTCCTCATATGATCTTGCGTAAGTCGTCCGCGTACTTTGCCAGTCCCACTTACAATGGTTGTTGAAATAGTTCGCTGCGTCCATACAGGAGTTTGTCGTAATCCAAGTTGTCGTTGCAATCTTCGACCCAGCGTTGGATTAATGGCGCGAAGCTCGCCACGAAGTTACGTGACCTGTGCGGGTCTCCTATGAGACCGCCGCAGTGTGGCTTGATACATACCCCCTCCTTGCTGTGTCTGCACGGTATTCGGAAAGTGGTCCGTCGGTATCTCTGTTCTCCTAAGTCCCACGCGTCTTCTGGCATGATCTGCTGTAAGCCGCGTCCATCGTGATCCAAGAGCCGCCGGCGAACGCGTTTGACACGTCCGTCATTTCATGGTCGTGATGAAGTTGTGTCCTGCCTTGCGTGCCCTGTACTCGACCACCGCCATGGCTAGTATAGCTCCTTCTCTCCTCCGTCCACTGCTGAAGCCGTAGTCTTGGTCTGTATGCTTTCGTTTCTGTTGTCGTCGCATGCGCTCCGCGTAGTTTGCCTTTCCGATCGGGTCCATGATGTGATAGATCCTCTTGCCTGGTGGTCCTGGTGTATTGTTCTTTGGTTCGCTTTGTCGCCATTTGACTGGTGTGGTGTTGCTCACCCGAACTGCTGCCAACGCTGCTCGGAATACGTCGTGGAAGTGTGCTGGTTGTGTCGGTCGTCGTGTTGTTGTAGTCGCATAGCAGTAGTCTCCATAGCTCTGATGGTGCTGCCGTCGTGGGTGCCGCTCGTCGTAGTTTAGCTTTCTTCAGACTGTAGCCGGTGTGCTCCAGGTCCTGGTCGATGATGTCCTCCAGCTCGTTCTCGTCGTAGTCCACTGGCTCCGCGTAGACAGGTATATGAGGAAGTTCCGCTTCTTGTTGCTCCGTTCCTTCCATGCCGCCCTGTCCGCCTGGCAGCTTCCAAAAATCCAGCCATTCCTGTCGTGTAGGTTTTACTGTGAAGCTGGTCCAGTAGTCTCGTTGCTGTGGTCCATATCAATCTCCTGCGGCAAGTCGTGTGAGTCTTCCCACGCGCGCAAGGCCCCTGCATTCCCATGCCTCGTATACTTGGGCCACCCGTTCGTCCGTCGTCGTCGTGTACTCCTCCTTCCTCATGGCCGCGCACTCCGTCGTTGTCCTGCGTAGTTGGTTCTCCAAGTGCTTCAGGTGCTCTTCGTTCTGATCTGTGGGGTCTTCCTCTGTGTACGGGTTCTGCGTGTCGTCCATCGCGTTCGGCTCATCTGTCTCTGTCTGGCTATAGTGTATGATTCACTTCCCACATCTGTCATCGGGTATCTCGATGCGTAGCGCGTCCCCGTCGCGTCGCAGCTGTTCCGGAGGAGGGGGAGGACGCTGCAGAGGGCGAGCGAGAGGATACAGATGAGTCTCCCTCCTCATATTACACCCTCCCTCTTCCTGCCATAGTGGAGATGCGAGGGGGATGATGTGGAGGAGGACGAGTCATATAACGAGGGGGAGGATGACGACGCAGAGGAGGAGGAGGAGGACGAAGAGGTGGACGAGGAGCTAATCAGTGACATCATCCGCCTGGGGGTGTGGAGGCGGAGGGAGGAGACGGAGGGAGGAGGAAGAGGAGCGAATCATTGACATCATCCTCCTAGAAGGCGGAGGCGGAGAGAGGACTCGGAGGGAGGATGAAGAGAAGGGGAGGAGGGAGGAAGAGGAGTTGCCAGAGGAGTATAAAGGGAAGGTGTTTGAGGGGGCAGTCCTTCTCATCATCCCGTCTACTCCTCATCATCTTCCTTGCTCCTGATACAGGAAACATCGGATGATGACGAGCAGGCTGAGCAGGATGGCTGGAAGGAGGGCGATGAGGAGGATGGTCGGTATGAGCAGCAGAAGGGGGTGACTGACTTCTGAACCTCATCACCAACCCCCAACTGTACCCCGTC